TACTAGGGAAGATATGATGCTTTTTTATAATTCTTTTATGCCCCAGAGAAGTCAGGCTAGATGGACTAAGATCTGACCTACTGAAGGGATTGATTCTTAAGTCCATTGAATAAAGTGCTTCCAACAGAGAACCAAATAGGGAATGGTACTCAGGCAATTAATTGTACTAGGTCCCCTAGGGGTGTGGATACTCAGTACAGTAGCACCTATGCCTATTTCATTGTGATCCTAAATACTTGACTGAAGTGTCAAAGAGCAAACACAGTCGATGGGAAAATCTGTTCAACAGCAACTTCAGAAGGTCAGAGGCCAGGGCCATTTGATACCTTTAAATTTATGTGAGGCTCAGCGCCAGTGTATGCATTCACTCTATCATGCTCTATACGTGAGGAAACCACTCAAGAAAGCTATGCACAGTGCCTGCACCACATAATAAGAATCTGCTACTATTTGGTGTTGAAGTTTTACCTAGCATGCGATAAGGAAATTATGTATTTCTTTGCCACTCTGTCATAGACTTAGTAGCATGATTTTAAAAACATTAATTCCACTCCCCATTTTGCAACATGAGTCTGAAGCTTCTGAAGTCTCCTTTCCCCCTGCTTTCTCCCTGAGAAGTGTATATGCATATATATTGGACTATTAGAGCTGGCACCTTAGCCGCTTAAAACAAAAATGGAGTAATTCAGGCAAACTTTACATGAGCAGTCAGGATGGGATCTATCTTAACAGTATTGAACTCAGGCTCTGTGAACTTTTCATAAGGCCAGCCTGCTTAATCAAGTCACTCCCATTGCCTAAAGTGCCACCTTATTTTTCTTTCAGTCCTGAAATAATAGTTGGACCTACTCACTGGCAGCCTGGCCTAGATGGTCACATACCCCAAAGCCTGAGAGATTCCAAAAGAGCAACTCCATGATAACCAGACTGCCATTATGTTTCCAAATCTCTGCATTACAGTGATTTAATTGGATTTAGGCAGTGATGTTAACATGCAAATATACTTCTTACTAAGGATAAAAGGTTAAGACAGGGTGATATAAAGGAAAGAGCCCAGGCATTAACAGGGATGTCAAACTCATTTTCACTGGGGGCCACATCAGCCTCGCGGTTGCCTTCAAAGGGCCGAATGTCAATTTAGGACCATATAAATGTAACTACTCCTTAACTAGGGGCAAAGAGCTCAGTGCTGCTGTCAGGTAGAAACCAGGTGCCAGGCTAGATAAAACAAGGTGGAGGGCCGGATTCAGCCCACAGGCCTTGTGTTTGCCACCTGTGGGTTAAAACCAATAAAATTTCACTTTGTAGCCAGGCTTCACCAATTCCCAAATTTTGGTATTGAGGTGCCACATCTATAAAATGGGGGTAATAATAATCACTTTTAAAGAACTATTAACACCAGTGCTTATTATACCTTACGGTCACCAAAATGGATGCCTGGCCCATAGTAAGCACTCAATGATAGTTCTTACCATGACTAATAATCCCTTATACCCATTAGCCCATTGTGAGAGAGAAAAATCCTGAGGGTAGAAAGGAGCCAACACTTTTAGGAGAATGAAAAAAGTTCAGTAACTTGTTCAAGGTCACACAGCTAGTGAAGAGCAGAGCAAGTATCTGAACTCAGGTCTCTCTAACTCTGAAAGTCCAGGTTCTTGCCTCAGAAACCTGCTGCCTCTTCTTGTGTGTACCCACCCCAAAAGAAAGCAGTGATTTGACACCCTCAATGATTCACGTAGCGTTGGGAAAAGTCAGCCCTGAAAGACTTGAATCATATTAAACTAAATAAAAGCTATGCACAGGGTGAGTCTGCCTTCATGCCGACCTAAAGGCATGCTGATGAACAGCAGAGACCATTTGAAACCATAAATGGAGCAACTGTGGTGAGATCCAGAATGACCTGATGGTACATCAGTTGGATAATGCTGAAACTTTCCCAAGTCTCATCTGCATCCCATCCTTCCAAAATTCCAGGGAGCTATCAACACACACAAGTATCACAAAACCAGCCCCAACCCAGAAAACAGAGCTTTAGCTTGATGTCCCTGATGGTCCCCTGCTTCCCCAGTGCCCTCCCAAGTAACCAAGGCCTCCTGGTAATCAGGCCTCTGGGAGAAGAGAAAGCTGATGGGGCAGGATCACTTCTGTGCTCTGCCCCATCTCTGCCCCTATATCAAGCAGGTAGGGAGCCACCCACATTTGCCTCAGGGAACATTTGTCTTGTTAGCAGACTGAGCCTGGCTGTTCTCCAGAATCCTGAGCACTTTGATGGGATTGTGCACAGGAAGGAGCAGACAGTGTCTTGGAAAACAAATGAAATGCAGGATGGGGGCTGGGTGGAGGTAGGGAAAGGTGGAGAAAGGGGGACATATGTAATAGTGTCAACAAAAATAAAGTTATAAAAAAGAGCCCTGGCTGGTGTAGCTCACTGGATTGAGTGCAGGCTGTGAAATAAAGGGTCGCTAGTTCAATTCCCAGTAAAGGCACATACCTGGGTTGCTGGCCAGGTCCCCAGTGGAGGTCACATGAGAAGCAACCCCACACTGATGTTTCATTCCCTTTCTCCCTCCCTTCCCCTCTCTCTAAAAATAAATAAATTAAATCTTAAAATAAAGGAAATGAGGGAAATTTCTACCGAGAAGGACAGGGCCAGATGGTACACACAGGGAGGCTGGACCCTAGGCATTAAGTCTCCTAGCCTAGGCAGAAACCTCCTCCCCACCTCACCTCTCGTACCCACAGGCCCAGGAGCAGCAGAGATGCCCACCTTCGAGGGACCATGTGGACTAGGACAGCGAGTGCAGCAGAGACCATCACAAAATGATTGAAGGCCCCACAGAAGCCCCCCTCCCTCCCATTCTTAAGTAACCTATGGAAAGGGGCAGGTCCCTTCAATAGGGAATGAGATTGACCTTTCACCTCAGTGGGATGGAGGGAGATGCAGATTTAAGCTGCAACATATGAGCAAGCCTGCCCTGAGATACACACTACACAGAAGACACAGCAGAAAAACGCACACTTTATTACTAGTTAGAATCAGAAAATCCTGACAAAGGTTGAGCTTGGTGAACTGGGCAGATCTCAGAGGACAAACTCTAGGACATCTTTTGTTCAAACTGGAGGCTGATCTAACTTCCCACTCCCTGGGCTCCAACGGCCTTTGGGGGCCCACAGAGAACACACCATGTGGAAGACAAGAAACACAGAGACATTCTCGTGTGCCTGTCCCACCCAGTTCAGTCTATTCTTTAATCCAGTTAGTCCTCCCAAGAGAAGCACCACGTCTGTCCTTGGAATTCCTTTTGTTCTTCATCCACTCTTGACTGGACAGGGACTTGAGATGAAAGTGGCCAAGGCTCAGGCCTTACATATATAACCAACACTCCTCCAAATACTGCCTTTCTTTAAGACAGTCACCCAGTGGTCTTTCAGACAACAAAATGAAAGCCCCACGGAAGCACCCCTCCCTCCCTATCCTTGAGAGGATAGCTGTCCCACTCAAAGGAGGAAATAAGCAGAACCAGAAAAGTCCTGCTTTCATTCTTGTGAGGCCACTTCCCAATATTTGCCACTGCTCATTTGTCTCACCTGGGACCGACGAGATGAACAATTATGTTACTCAAGTCCTTTCATGAAACTCTATTTGATGTTGCTCTCAAGACTGCAAAACTATATGGATATTATTTCAGTTGGGTTAACCCAAAAGTTGTATTACATGCAAGGCAAAGAGGTCACCTCTGATCTATTTTGTATCTCAAATTATGCGCTCTCCTGTAATCTAACCAAACTCACAAAATAAGGTTATAACGTGTGCAACAGATATTTAATATATGTCTAGTTCCAAACACATACTAGAGAATAATTTTGTGTAACAAATTTCATGAAATTTGTCAAATTTGCTATCTGTGGAATTTAACACTGAAATCTTATGAATTAATTTCATGTCCCAACAGAGAAATTAAATTGTAACAAAAGTCATTTTGTTCTCCCCTTCCCCCCCGATGAATGCCAAAGTATCTCTTCTTTCCTCACTTCTCACTCTTCTTGGTTGGTGTGATTTCTTTAGGCTCTTGGAAAATCTTCTCCTGGGACAGGTTCAGGTTCTTTATCAAGCAAGTTCCAAACTTGGTGACACTCAGAAACACACAAAAACAGGCCTTTACCTGTAAAACTTGAAAAAGACAAGAAGCAAACATGAATGCTGCAGAAGTTTACAAAGTAATAACAGAATTTTCAAGGAAAAGCAGCCCTCCTAAAATTCAATGTAGTGTATAACTCTAAAAAACACATGGCTGTTCCCAGCCAAAGACATGGCATTTTCAGGAAAAGGGGGTCAATAAGAAAACAGAAAGGAGTGGAAAGGAGAATAAAGGCTTCATGGCCTCAATGTCTCCAGGTGCCAGACAATCAGTATCAGCATCCAGAATCCACCACCTGTAAACTTAAATGCAATTAGGAGAAATCCTCTATTCAAAGAGTGTGATACTCACCCTGGCTGGTGTGGCTGAGTGGATTGAGAACCAAAGGGTCGCTGGTTCAATTCCCAGGCAGGGCACCTGCCTGGGTTGCAGGCCAGGTCCCCAGCAGGGGACACATGAGAGGCAACCACACAGTGATGTTTCTCTCCCTCTTTCTCCCTCCCTTCCCCTCTCTAGAAGTAAATAAATAAAATTTTAAAAATAAAGAGTATGATACTCAAAAACAGTCTTTGTTCAAGTTCATTTAAAAAAAAGATTGTTAACCAATGTTACCCCAATAAATTTAAACTAAATAAATTAAAGAAAAATATATAAATACATATGTGTTTGTATATGTGTACCCATCATGATAAAAAGTTGTTACTTTGGGTAATGGAATAATGGATTATTTTATTTTTTTCTATGATAACTTTGGTTTCAAATTTTCTGTGAAGTAAATAAGTTATTTTTTTTTATCAAAAGGGAGTCTTAGGAAATTGTTTTTTCTTTAGAGTGTTTCCATTCTTACTTACCTTCCCAAAATTAATGAGTTTGTCCTGGGTTCACGTTTCCCAGCTCACCAGGAATGTAGACTATCCTGCATCTAAAGCAGGCCTTGCGCCATGAGAAATTCATCATTTTGCACCAAGGACAGTCCCAATCACGTCGGGCAGACATCTTCCGGAGCTGGGAAGCTGAGGCTCTTCTCTCTTTTGATTGCCAAAACCTCTGCCCCTGAGGCCGTTGTTTCTTTGGATTTTGTTTCACATCAAGGCTGCTACTGCCCCTCAGGTGAGTTGCCTGGGGCCTCTCTGGATCACCTTCCTGGCTCTGGATACCCCCCAAGGGGACAGTCCCTTGGGGCATCTCTGGATCTTTTTCTTGGCTATGGCTTTTGTTCCTGTCACCCATGGTAACCATGCTGTGGGGCCTCTCTAGATGTTGTTCTTGGCTCTGGTTGTAGCTATACCCAGTGGGGACCATTCCCTGCGGCCCCACTGCACCATCTTCCTGGCTATGATTCTTATTGTCGCTCAGGTTAACCATCCCCTGGGGCCTCTCTGGATCTTGTTGGCTAAGGCTGTTGATGTTCCATAAGGGGACTGTATCCTGGAGGATCTCAGGACCTTCCTTGTGGCTGTGGCTTCTCTGTTTCCCCAGTGGGGCCATCTCCTCATGGGTCCCCACTATGGCCTGCGGGCCAGGGGGATTATTCCCCAGCGAAGGCATGTTAGGTGGGATTACCGCCTGTACTGCTTCTGTGAATACTGGTGGTGGTGGTGGCAAAGGTTGCAAGGGTGGGAATCCCATTGGGAATGGTGGGTAAAATGGAAATGGGCATGGCAGTGGCAGAAGCGGTTGCATGGCCTGGCCCCAGAGACAGCCAGGCATCCCCATGGCCCCCATATTTCTGTGCTGCTCTTCACTCAGGGGCCATACCATGGCCCCAACTTGCACAGGTCGAGGCCCAGGCACTATTCCATGGGCCAACAAAGTCTCTTTGGCCAATGTCTCAGTCTGGAGCAGCCACCCATGAAGCATATCACGTTCATTCAGTGCCTGCTGCTGGGCAGCCTGTGTGAAGCGCAGCTGCAAGGCCATCTCATCACGCTCTTTGCGCAGCCTCTGCAACTCGGGAGCCAGAGCCCAGGAAGCCCCTTCAAGCTCCTCCACCCGATCCTGCAACTGCCGAACCTGGTATACCAGCTGCTCACGCTGCCTCGCACCGACACGTATGCCCAAGGTCAGCGCACTCCAAGTACAGGCCCGCTTGATGGTGCTTGGCAACTCAGGGTCATTCAGGACGGCCTGAAGCCGGTCCTCTATCTCACTCCATGACTGCGAGCGGAAGGTAGTGTAGAAATCTGGGCCACCGCCATTACTGAGGACTTCATTATTGATGAAGCTGATCACCTCGTCATGGCGGAAACCACTGGCATATTCCGCATAGTCCACATTCGAGGACATCATAGTTTACTTGACCGACTGCCTCACAGGCAACGATGTGCCTGCCGCAACCACCAGCAAAGGCTGCAGCCACCAATACGTGCACCCCTCAATTTTTTGTTCAGTTTTAATTCAGTCCTAGCCCAGTCCTGGCCTCCTCTTAGGCCTTTTTCTACCCTTAAACCTTTCCTAACAAAATCCACAGCCGACTATCTCACCTCACAAACGCTTGCCAGGCAACCGCATGACACGTCATGGAGACGATCTGTGCGTCACGCCCGCCGCGAGGCATTCTGGGAATGACCTCCCTTGGTCCATCCCCTGAGAATTATGGGTAACGGAACTACTCCGTGCAAACGGTAACCAGTTGACAGCTAGGGTAGCTCTCTAAATATCAGAGAAGGTAGATTTTCACACAAAAATTGCTGAGATAAAAAGGATATTATACAATGTTAAAAAGGTCAATCCATCGATATAGCAATTGTAAATATATATACACTTTATATATGCACCAAAAAAATAGTTCAAAATATATGCCAAAAATAGAATTGAGAGTAGGTAAAGGCAGTTTTAGAGTGATAGTATAATGGAGTATAGACTTCAATACTCCATTTTCAAGAATTGATGGAAAGACTTGATAGATTAATAAGGAAATACAAGATTTGAATAACACTATAAACCAAAAAGACCTAACAAACATTTACAAAATAGTAAGCCCCAAAACAGCACACTACATATTTTTCTCAAGTGCACATTAAAGATTTTCCAGCATAAACCATACATTAGGCCACAAAATAAGTCAGTACATTTATGAAGATTAAAATCATACTAAGTATGTCCTCTGACCACAGGGAATGACATTGGAAATCAATAACAAAGTGAAACTTGAAAAAATATACAAATATGTTAAAATTATACAACACTGCTAAATAACCATTGCATCAAAGAAACAATCACAATGGAAGTTACAAAATAAGTTCAGATTGATGAAAATAAAATACAACATACCAAAATTAATGTGATACAATCAAAGCAGAAGGAAATTTATAGTTGCAAATGCCAACATTTAAAGAGAAGAAACACAACAATAGCGGGGGGAGGGGACAGTGGGGAGAAGGGCTTATAGGAAGTACTGTAAAGGACACATGGACAAAACCAAGGGGGAGGGTGGAAGCAAGGGAAGGAGGTGGGTTTGGCTGGGGTGGGGAGAAAATGCAAACAACTGTAATTGAACAATAATAAAGTAATTTAAAAAATAAAAATAAAAATAAGAAACATATGACTGTTATGTGAATAATGTAACTACCCACCTTAATGAATTAAAAAACTAAGCCCAAAGCAAGGCAGAAGAAAAAATTGATAAAAATTAGAATGGTGATAAAACAGAGAAGAGGAAAAAATATGAAAAATTAAATAAACCCAAACACTGGTTCTTTGAAAAGATTAATAAAATTGACAAATTTTAAAGAAGATTTTTCAAGAAAAAAATAAAGATTCAAATTACTAAAATCTGGAATGAAAAAAGGACATTTACTACTGACCTTATGGAAATAAAAAGGATTATAAGATAATACTATGAATGATTACATGTGAAAAAATTAGATACCTAGATGAAACAGACAAATTCCTGAAAACACACAAACTAACCAAATAGAGTCAGGCAGAAATAGAAAATCTGAACAGGCCTATAAAACGTACAGAGATTTAATCAGTAATCAAAAACCTGCCAACATAGAAAAGCCCAGGACCAAAAAGCTTCACTGGTAAATTCTACCAAATATTTAAAGAGTAATTAACAGATATACATGCATAGAATTGAGAGCCTATAAATAAACCTATGTACCTATGATCAATTAATTTTTAACAAGGGTGACAAGACCACTCAAAGGGGAAGGAATAGTCTCCTCAACAAATGGCTCTGAGATAACTGGATATCCATTTGTAAAAGAGTGAAGGTGAACTATTACCTCAGCCCATATATTGGGCTGGCCAAAAAGTTTGTTTGTTATTTTCCGTATGATGGCTCTAATAGTGCTTAGTTGTCTTTAACTTCATTCTAAACAATTTTGTTAGAGTATATTGTGACAGCTGTCATGTCAGCATGTTTTTTTTAAAAACTTATCAAAATTGGTGAATTTTTGTGTAGCCATTTTAATATTGAAAATGGAATAAGCCCTGGCTGGCGTAGCTCAGTGGATTGAGCGCGGGCTGGGAACCAAAGTGTCCCAGGTTCGATTCCCAGCCAGGGTACATTCCTGGGTTGCAGGCCATAACCCCCAGGACCGCACATTGATGTCTCTCTCTCTCTCTCTCCCCCCCTTCCTCCCTTCCCTCTCTAAAAATAAATAAATAAAATCTTTAAAAAAAAAGAAAATAGAATAAAACACACAACATTTTTGGTATAGTATGCTTTATTATTTCAAGAAAAGTAAACATGCAAGTGAAATGCAAAGAAAAGATTTGTGCAGTGTATGGAGAAGGTGCTGTAACTGATCAAACATGTCAAAAGTGTTTTGTAAAATTTGGTGCTAGAGAGTTCGCACTGGACCATGATGCTCCATGGTCAGGCAGACCAGTTGAAGTTGATCATGATCAAATCAAGATATTAACTGAGAACAATCAACATACCACATGGGAGATAGACAACATATTCAAAATATCCCAATCAATAAAGTGATTGGTGAAAATGAAAAATGTGTCTTTTATTTTCCAAAAAAAATGAAGCGAACTTTTTGGCCAATCCAAGCACAAAAATTAACTCAATTTTTGTTTGTTGTTTCTGTTTGTTTGGGACTGTTATTATTTTACTTGCTTTTCTAAATTATTTTTGTAAAGTTTTTTTATTCTTCATCATATGTAGCCACTAAAGTCTGTGTTCCATAGGCTTAGTGGTCAGTTAGTGTTTTAAGACTATATCTATAAACCCTTGAAACTTCAAAATATATTTTTAAAAAGAATTTTTAAAACTCTCCCACTCTTTGCCCTGGCCGGTATGGCTCAGTTGGTTGTAGCATTGTCCTATAACTGAAGGGTTGCTGGTTCAATTCACTGTCAGGGCCCGTGCTTGGTTTAGGATTCACTCCCCAGTCTAGACCTGTATGATCCCAGGTAGAGGCATGTACAGGAGGCAACCAATCAATGCTTCCTTCTTGTATCAATTTTTCTCTCCCTTCCTCTCTCTCTAAAAAAGCAGTGAAAAAAAATGTCTTCAGGTGAGGAGAGAGAAAAACCTCTTCCAGTCTTTGAAGATTGCCTCTGTGTTGGGACACTCCTTTCAATGCTTAGCCAGGTCATTTGCAACATTGTCTTCACTTTTACTTCCTGCTTGTGCAGAACCTGAAGGTCAGGCAGAGGTGGAAGTTTAGGATCTTTTCTGAAGATTAGGCTTTTTCTGAGCATATATTGGACATATGCATGGCCTTGTTGATTCCCTGATTTACACGGGAGCTTTTAAAAGCCCTCACTGCCCCACATATCTCCTTTCCAAAACTGTTTATTCCCAGGCTTTTTTATTTCCCTTGCTTGACCTGTCTGTTGTCCCAGGCTGCTATAGCCCATACTCTTGCCTTTAAGTGCTTTTATCAAATGCCACCGGGGAGGCTGCCCCAAACCTGAGAATGCTCTGAGTTGGCTTAAACAGAGGCCAGTCCTTGTGTACCAGTCCTTCAGGGAGCCATCAGCCAGAGCAAAATGCACAACCACAATTCTTTGAGAAGAGGGTCTGTATTGCCCCCTCAGGTACTTGGCAACCTGCACTGGGAGTACAGGCTTCTCTTTTCATGGCCACCTCCCATCTGGTCTGTGGAGAAGGGTAGATAGATAGACAATTTATAACACCAGAGAACTCTCTCGTTGCAATGTAGCAGCTTCCTCATTAAGCTTTCCCCTGGTTGTTGTTAGTTTTCAACTAGATTCCAGAGTTCTGCAGTTGATTCTGACAGTTTTTGCCAGCTCATTAGTTGCTTTAATGAAGGGATGGAACCCTGGGGTTCTCTACTCTGCCATTTTTGGTATAAAGAAAGCTATCACAGTCCCGAACCATTAATATTCCAAATAAAATCAATTTCATCTCCATGTCCTCTCACTCATCCTTACAGCTCAGTCATCACCTACTCCAGACAGACTTTCCTGACCACTCCACAACCAATACTGTAATTAGGTTTTTATTCTTCTTTCTCACCAACTACACTTAGTCTCTTAAGAGCAGAGACTGACTGTATCCTTTCATTTCAGAATCCCTAGTACCTAATGTGGTTCCAGTTACATGATAGTACTTATAAATGCCAAAGGGAGGGTATAATGGAATAATGAAAGGTAGAAGGAAAGAAAAATAAATAGCGAAAAACAGAAGCTATTCCATGATTTCTGTAACACTTGTTAAAACTCAGACTTGAAACCTATAAGGGCATACCCTTGTCATAGTTTCAACCCAAAGAAAAGTAAATTTTAAAATGATACATATATCTCTAAAGAAAAAAAAAATTCACCACATTCAAACTGATATGTGTATCTTTGGGGGGAGTGCTTTCATGCAGTGTTAAACTTTATAATACCTTCAAACTGTTTCTAAATTAATGCAACAACAGGTCATAAATGCCAAGGTGTTCAAAATTATTATTACTAAATTTAAGACACTTTTGACCTTTAAGACCTTTATAGCATCAATTTCTGCTGTACTGAAAGAGGAAGGTGATATATAATGGCCTATAGAGTGAGATTTCAAAAGTAACCTGAGTTATCATTCTTGATGAAACAATGATAATATCACAAATACCACCACACTTTACTTTGCAGGTGTGCAAGTTTGCAAAGTGTGAATGTATGTTTACAAGACAGTAGAACAATTCAATTGCATAAATTAATCAATCTGAGAAACCACATTAGAAACATAGCTAATTTTTACATGATTTTCAGTAAGTTCGTATACTTTCAATTTTAGTATAACCTCTGTCACAAAGCTTTCATAACAACTTTAAATGATAATCATTGATGATAAAGGAAGGAAAATAACATTTTAAAGT